TCATTTTTTTGAATATTGGAGGCTAATCGCTGTTCTGCGTTCTCTCATTCAGGCTCTTTCGAAAACATTTATGACCTCATAAACTGCCAGATTGGACCAGTGGGCAACTACAATCGCAGTTTCCTCACATTTCGTTCGCGTGCCAGTGCACTGAGCACAATTGAAGATTTTGGCAGTAAGTTGAATTTTATTAGAAAAGAAGCATTGCGAACTTCTCAAAAGAGAAATTACCATCTATATTCTTCCATAAAACAAATTTATCAACTAGCTTGATGAAGATTATTCTCCGAAGAGTATTTGGTAACAATAGCCCTAGCACCAGAATTCTGTCCTTCAGGACCGGTGGAATTTAGTTTATTATTAGTTTAAAGCTTAAATTGGCGTTTAAGTGTATTTTAGTTTTCAGTTTTGTTAGTTTAATCAAGTTAAGCTCAGTTTGTTTAGTATATAGTAGTTATTTTTGTATAGTTATATTGGCAGATAGGCGTACACCGCTCAGTTAGAGGACAGATTCGTTCGTCCATGGTGCTTTTGGAGCTCACCCTCGAGGCTACGCCGCAAGGTGGCTAATGATATAGACAGAAGGACATTACCATCAAAGAAAAGGGCTACTAGAATGGCCGGCTTTTTAGCCGTCGTCAGCCAGTCATACTCAGACTCAAGTGGTGTCCCACCCGAGCTTCGAACTCGCGACGACGTACATTTACCTGACTTTGGTGGCATCTCACTAAATTAAAAGTAACACTCAACTAATAAACTAAATTCTAAGACCAAAAACTTAACTAAAATGAAACTAAGGTAAAATTAATAAAACTACGAGTAATCACAGGACAAAGGGCTAGGGGTAGGTAAGATGCCAGACCACCTTTATTCTTACCGAATACTTAACTCAAATAGATGGAGGGATGAACAATATTCAGGGAGAAAATGTATTCTTAAATACAATGCAACCTGGGTTAACGAGTTTAACCTGTTCCGTCAGCGAGCTCATCATATGAAACGCTCGTCTTGCGAAACGTGGCCAATAAAACAGCTTCATTTCACTGATTCGCTGCAGACCACCGAGGACCGGGTCGAGGAGCTGGCTTCCAGTCAGTGACCAAACTCAAACAACGTTAACCAAAAGTAGTTAATTGGAATCATGATCTGGGAGCATAACTCAAAATATTTTAGGAACAACAGAATGCCGGTTTTCGAACAAGTCCTTTCGGCCGCCACAAATAACCACAACCGAAAAGAAAATGAATTAGTACAGTGAAATCTCGGTTTACGCGTTTAATTTGTTCCAGGATCGAGCTCGTCATCCAAAGCGATCGTCTTACGAAACGTAGCCAATCCAACTGCACCAGTTCACTAATTAGCTGCATGTAACCGAGGACCCACGTCTTGGGAGTAAGACTCAATGGCAGAAATAGGCACAC